AGTCGTTTCATTCCTGCTGAGCTTTAGCTGTTATTATTTTCTATCTACATGTCATTGTTGGTGTCTGTCTGTCTTTTTTACATTTTTCAGTAAAGCATGCTGCTTTTTAAAATATAACAAACAAGAGCTTCCTTCATTCTGTAGTTTATGAAAATCTAATCAAAAGTTCAAAAAAAAGTCCATCCAAATGTTCTTCCTCTTGGAGAGGAAGTTTCTGGGTTTTGGTGAAAGAACCTTTAAAACACGACACATTTATTCTGACTTTCTGTCCAACTTATTGTTTTTCTCCCAGCTTTACATTTATTTTTAGCAAAGCAATGATGGAAGCAAACTCAGATGCTGTCGACCTTAATAAGTGTCAAAAGCTTCTGATGCATTTATTGTCAGGGAACTGAGGTCGACATGGCTGCAAGGTTTGGGTTTTGGATTCTAACTGGAGGGAAGTGATGTAAATATTTTGAAACTATTTAGTCGCTGCGTTTGTTTCACTTCGCTTTGCAACCACAATTAATGAATGTACATTTTTAGTCTTCAAAAACTTCAATCTTTGACAGATCTTGTGTAAATCTATTAAGCTAACTTTGGATATATTTCATTTGTTTTATTATATGAAGTCAAATCTAACCTCAGAAATCAACATGCACATGCTTCTGGTGTATGGAGAGAAATTTGTTCCAGTAACAATGAAAGAAAAGAACATGTTTAAGTAATGGAAATTTGAAAAAGCTAAATAAAAACAAAGGTTTTGGGAGTAAGGAAACATCCTTTAGGGGAGTGTTGGCCTAACGGTTAGAGCAGTACGCTTGTCCTCTGAGCAGGTTGGATCTCCACAGCCTGCACTCTGCGTTCCTGAGCAAAGAACATTAACCCCACACTGCTCCCCGGGCATCGCAAGATGGCAGCCCACTGCTCCCCAAGGGGGTTAAATGCAGAGTGAATTTCTCCAATGTGAGATCAATAAAGTTGAATTATTATTATTATTATAATCCAAATAGGAAGATCTCCAGGCCTATTTAAGAGCTGAAAAGACTTATGTCCATATTTGCTTCATTTTTGAACAAAAGGGGAGGGGTGGCCTGGTGGTTAGGGCGGCCTGGTGGTTAGGGCATAGAGCTTGTAATCCAGAGGTTCTGAGTTCAAGCCCCACTCCCACAGACTGCCACACTGAGCAAAGACCCTTAACCCCTGATTGCTCCCCGGGTGCCCCACAGTGGCAGCCCACTGCTTCCCAAGGGGATGGGTTAAATGCAGAGTTCATTTCGTCACGCTGTACTTGTGACAATGTAATGATAATAATATGCTGGCAAAAAAACCCAAACTGATTTATCAATTAAAATTAAAAAACAATAAATCCCGGTGAATGATAATGTGATGATGATGATGATATAGCAAGCAACAGATAAATAAAACTAGTTTTTGTTTTTTATGCCTCTTTTTAGAGCAAATATTGACCTCAGATAACAGACAGCCTACCCAGCAACTGGAAAAAGAACAAAAACAATCATTATTTCCAGCTGAGCCACAAGATTATACTAGCAAAGTTGCTTCTGTCCAATGTCTGCCGATCCAGTAAAAAACTCAAACCTTTCATTCTGCTGTAAGTGTCACAGAGAGCCTGAGAACATAAACACATTGAATAATTTGCCAACATGTACTGCCATACCAGCAGCTCTTTGTGATATTCATAGGTCAAACTACAACAATAAATCTGTGATATTAATGGTGTCCGGCCCTAGTTAAGAGTAAGGCTCCTGCTTAGACACGTAAAGCTGAATTATTGCAACAAAAGAAGATGAGGAAAACAACAAATGTCGCCATAACAACCACTACAATAAAGCCACATAAGCCCTAATCTTTAATCCTCTGCAGTCATTACAGAACTATTATCACTCCTGTGATAATTGACATCTAGGACTCCTTTAAAAGAGCATATTTAACCCAAAATCCACTTTTTTAAGCTTTAACTATGTTCTAATGTTATTCCTTCATCTTAATGAGACACAAATTGGAGTTTAGCTGGATTGGTGCAACCGTATGGAGTTACTTTAGTTCCATTATTGTTGCAAAGAACACATTAAGCAATTCGGAAATAAAAAGAATACAATCCAGAAATCAAACTCTAAAAAACAGTTTTTCTAGATTTTACTTTTCAAATATTTAAAATCCTTTTTTTAACAATTACATCATAATTGCCGGCCTCAGTAGGCTGTCCTTTGATTTAATGGTGTGTTCAGAGTCTCTATACTCCACTTAATATTTAATTGATTACGTAGTTAAAGCCAATCTCGATAATCGATTAATTACAATTAATCCTTATTTGTGATTTAAACTAAATATGTGAACTGAATGTGGACATTTGTGATTTGGTTTGTTGTTTTTGCAAAGTTATAACTTCTAAAATCGCTTTCTCAAAGGGGAAACATCTGAAGTCTAATGTATCTCTGGGTTGACAAGGAATCAAATATCTTACATTTATCCACAATTATTAACTCATTCAGACCCAGCTGTTTATCATCAGCTGATTATAAACCCTTTGAATCCAACCTGTTGCAAACATACTGCTTTCCTGGAGCTGTTAGCCCCTTTGAACAGCACACTAGCTAATAAGCAATGACTGACTGTTAATGGATAATTAACTAGTGTTTAAATATGATTAGCTAAGCTGCTAAAGCAGCAGCTCCACAGCTGCAGCAGAGGGGGGGTTAACACCAAGCCGTTAAGGTTACCTGTCAGTCCGCCGCCCCCCTCTCCGTACCCCCGTCTCCTTTGCAGAACGAAGTAGTCATTATCTTTCTCGGTGACCCACAGTTTAAAGGCGTTTTTCAGCAGGATTTCTTCAGGTTTGAGCCACATGTTTATACCGTGACCGAGTTTTCATGTAAATCCTCCTGACATGTCACTGCCTCCCCTAAAAAAACCCCCAAGGAGCAGAACCGGAGGCATTTGTTTGTGTCCGAATCCCTCCCTTCCCACGTCGACAAGAAATGCTGCCGAGCGCGCAAAGCATCATGGGATTGTAGTTTATGAAGGAAACCTGAGTCTTCTTCTCGGGTCAAAATCTGAATCGTTACAGAAAAGAAAAAAGTTGCATTGGGAAAGTACATTTAGTAATTTCTAGTTTCTAGTGTCTTTAGCACAATCACAACTAGTTGCTATCCGTTTAATTTTAAATGTTTTTGTTTTGGAACAAGCAGACAGACATTATACGTTTCTGTGAATATTTTAAAGGCTGGATAATATCAAAAGCCTTGAGCTCCGAAAGAAGCCAAGCAAAGAGCTTTGAGGCTCCAGCACAGGTCTGAGTTTGGACCAGGGGCGGAGCTAGACGGGGGCAAGGGAATGTATAGTTTGTCTTTATTTAGAAAATATGGATGTTTTGTTTCACTCATTTTCCTTTTGGAACAGTGTAGATTGACCCTGAGGTTCTGGTGCTTATCCATTTTCGGTTATTGCCCGGCCAACCTTAGAAAAAATGTCTGCCTACGCCTTTGGTGTAATCTCCTCTTTTGCCCCCTTTCCGTTCATTTACTTTAGCCAATGGTAACCGAGGTTGGGTGCAGCTAACTCTGTTCAGAGCGTTTTGAGTGTTTGTATTTTCATCTCTCGGGCTGCTCCCATGTCCCACCTCTCAGTAAAATATCATCAAATCTGTCGCTTTGAGAAATCCGATTTGCGGTCGCATTTCACTGACGTACAAAGTAGCTACATGGTTCGAGGAGAGACACAGCAGCATTATACGGGAGTTACTTTGATGAAGGTTTAGGTAAAAGTTAGGAGACGGGTTGGTTAAAAAAATTAGAGATGCCACTGAAAAGTCTGTTAGACATGCAGACGTTTTTCAGCTAAAAATGGAAACAGGTTGTCAAGTTTATACAAGTTAGTATTATAATGTAAGAAGTTTGAGAAAACATAGTGTATACATTCTTCTTTAATAGTTAAAAATTCTTGGCTTCTCAGAGGACCATGAGTCACAGTTACAGGTTGAAATTAACACGTTTTCTTATAGTACAGACAGAATCAGACTGCAGTGCTTCTACATATCTTGAAACTTTGCTTCTGGCATCATTATACTAGTAAAGAGGTTCATAAATCTTTTTAAACAGAGCACAGAGAGAAAAAGGAGAGCTGCAGATTTAAGGTGAAACAGATTTACTGGGAAATGTAACAGGCAATAAAATATATCACCAAGTTTATCAGAAAGTACCAGAAAATTTACAAGAAAAAAAAAAAAAATTATGCTGTATTTAAAATGCAGCATATCCATCTTTTTCTAGATGGATGGAATTGAAATTGTACATATTAGGGATGCATAATTTATTGATTTTGGCATCAGAATTGGCTTAATTTTTTAAATAATTTAATGTTTTTGGGCC